TTTTGAATAAAGAAAACAAGTGACCAAATGTTACATTTAATTAGAGATTCAATCAACAATGTATTTTCCCTGATTATCTATGACTTCCTTCCATCTATTAACAAGCTTACTAATTCTACTACTGTAAAAATCTTTCGGCTGTTTCTTCCAAATGATTCTGTAAGCTATGAAACAAATGGTAGTCTGAAGGAGCAAGATCGGGAGAATAAGGTGGATGAGGAATTTTATTCCAACCAAGTTCTTCGATCTTTTGTGACGTGATTCTTGCTGTGTGGGGTCGTGCATTGTCCTGATGAAACATCACCTCTTTTCGATTCACTCGAGCAGGTCTTTTTCCCCCTCAAAGCTTAGTTCAAACGCTCTAATTGCTGACAGTATATTTGAGCATTAATTGTTGCATTAGGTGGTAAGAATTAAAAGTAGATTATTCCTTGGCGATCCCACCAGATTGAAAGAAGAACACTTTGCCCATGAAATTCCCTACTCGGCTGTGGCTGGGGTCCTTCCCCTTTACCAAGCCATTGTCTACGACGCTTAACATTTCGATAAAAGATCCATTTTTCGTCGCCAGTACCAAGTATATCCAAAAAAAGGTGAAATAAGTTGGCGACAATAGAGAGAAGAGCAGATGTCAACTCGGGATTTGAGGTTGTTTTCAGACAATTCATGAGGCACCCATTTTCCAAGTTTAGGAACTTTTCCAAGTTGTTGAAGATGACGATGAACAGTTGTATGGTTTGAACTGAGAACCACTGCCAATTCCTCAACTGATAAAGCAGGATTTTCTTCAAGGGCTGCTTCAAGAAGCTTTTCATCAAACTCAACTGGACGTCCGGTTCGATCTTCATCTTCAAGGGTGAAATCTCCACCTCTGAATTTTGCAAACCATCTTCTGTAAGTTCTTTCATTCACATTCCTCTTCCATAAACTGAGTGAATGTTTCTAGCTGCTTCGGCTGCTGAGCTTCCTTTCTTGAACTCATAAAGCATTATGTGCCTCAAATGATTCTTGGGTACTTCCATGTTAGCAGGGTTTTAATCAAACAAAATTTAATTTTATTGTTCTCTGAAATAAAATTTAATCAGTTTAAATGCATCTAAACATAAAAATAATGTTCAGCTTCATTAGACATTATAAAATACTCTTTAAATTTCGTTCATTTTAAAAAAAGGAAAAATTCGAACAGAACTTATTGATGACCTGATATATATATATATATATATATATATATATATATATATATGAAAATTATATAATAAAATATAATAAAATTTATATAAATATAAATGACAATGGAAAACTAGTTATTGCTACATTGGACGAAACGCGTCGTAATAACAATGGTTTTCCATTTTATTTGTCATATTCATATATATATATATATATATATATATATATATATATATATATATATAGATTGTGTGTGTGTGTGCGTCTGTGTGTTTGTGTGTCTGTGTGTTTGTGTGTCTGTGTGTTGTAGGATGTATAACATACGAAACAAAGTTAAAGATGTTGAGACAAAGTTCTCTTTCTTTTCTCTCTCTCTCTCTCTCTCTCTCTATATATATATATATATATATATATATATATATATATATATATATATATATATATATATATATATATATATATATATAGGGTGTCCCCGCAAAAAATTTGATATCATTTTAAAAGCAATTATCTTAAAGACTACAAAGTCTAGCTCAATGAAATTGAACAGTTTAGGTGTTGAACATCTGCCTGTGACACGGCAGACGTCAAGTCAGTAGTTAAGCTCTTGTCAAAAACGGTGCAGCATGTCTCTTCCTGAGCGGAAGTGATTCTCTGCTTGAGTTCATCAATGTTAGCAGGAAGAGGGGGCATATAGATCAGTCCCTTCACATATCTCCATAAAAAGAAATCACACGTGGTCCGGTGACTGCGGCGGCCATTTCATCAGAAAAATCACCACGCCCAATCCATCCCTCTGGCAGATTCTCTTCAGATAACAAAAATAAAACATTAAATATAAAACCTTGATCGGTTCCTATACGTTCTGTGAAAAATTGAGGTTATTTCAACAAGAATTGCCAAAATTGTTGGGCTGCGAAATTTTTGGGGAAACATCGTGTATATATATATATATATATATATATATATATATATATATAGAGAGAGAGAGAGAGAGAGAGAGTGAGAGAGTATTTGCGCAACAATCTCTCTTTTATGAAGTTTCGTTGAAAACGACTGACAAAGTGCAGCAGTTGAGTTTTTTTTAAATGTAAATTCTCATGTGTTCATATAATTTTTATAAACACTGCTACAATTTTCTGACCGTGTTTGGAAAATAAAACATTCCTATAACTCTAGATGTATACATAAAACAATCCATATATTCAATTAAAAGTAAAATAAAATTCATCCTTAATAATGGCTAAAGTTATAGCCGAAAGCGCTTAGAAAACATTCGGACAATTTTTATATAATTTATGTCCGGAAAAGAAAAAAGTTATACGGACACATGAGAAATGATATTAAAACTCAAATACTGCACCTAGTCAGTTGTGTTCAATAAAACTTGCGTAGACATATATATATATATATATATATATATATATATATATATATATATATAATATCTAAATATTTTTTAGCAGTATATCCCTGTGAGTCTCCTTGTTTCTAGGCATCTATCTACTAGAATTATGTCCAGTTCTAAAGCTTTTTTTCTAAATAGATTTGGTACCTATTCCCATGAAAATTCGAAGTTGCTTACATTTCAGAAAATGTTTGCCTCTCGTTTGTCAATACCTTAAAAAAACCTTAAACTGTCGACATTCTGATTAAAATTAAAAAATAACAAAAATGCATTATTATAACAGCAAAAAATTGCAATATAAGCTCTGGTAAAAAATGCAACAATAACAAGAGAAAAAATTGCCATATGAGCACTGGTCAAAATGGTTGCTGAAACATTAGGTTCCCAAAATTCATACACAGATATCCTCAAGGACAAATGAACCAGTGGATAAAGTCGTTGGTTAGATCGAGTGACTAGACCCAAAGAGGTTGTGAGTTCAATACCAGAACTTGGAGGTAAATAACTGAGACATCCGGAAGCGGCATGGCACGTGGAACTAGAACCATCTACCCCGGTGGGCTTAATAAAGGGTTCGGTTCGAAATTTGAATCACCTGAAGAAGGCCGGGGCGTATAACGGCTGAAAAGTTGTGAATATAGCAATGAATAATCCGAAGAATGTAAATTAAATAATGCAAGTAATCATAATACCTCATTTAAGAGATATAGACAGAAATAAAAGAAAAGAAAAAAACTAATAGCATAAATACTATCTATACTCGTCTGCAATTTACTTAATTCGCAGTTTCTAACTGATTATCTAGTCAGCCATTTATTGATTGTGCCATTGTTTCATTCTGTCCATCGCAGCCTCTTCCACAACCAATTATCTTTGTTTACACATAAATATCCACACAGAAAGATACAGAGAAAATACATTAAAAAAATATACGAATAAGAAGATTATGTTGTGATGCATGTCTATTTTTACCTTCCTCTTTCAAAGTTGTAAACTTTACCCAGACAATGAACTATCGGCGCCAGAAGCAAATAGTTTGCCGTTAAGAACATCATATATGGACATCAAACTTCACTTATTGCGTGGCTTATTGTGCTTTCTATCGACGACAATAACTGCTGTTTGGAAGAAAAGAGTAAGTGGATAGCAAATGGACGGAGAAAAGTCGTGTGATTTAAATCGCATTTATAGATATTTTAAATATCATAATCCATCGCGTCATTATTTAGCTATTTGTAAAAATCACGATGTTCAAAGTTTTACAGCTGACCTGGCTCTAACAGCTTAATGGAGGAAATCTGGCTTGTAAATTTCAACAACATTTTATCAGTTACCTACGCATGCCGAGTAGGATTTATTATAGAAAATAAATCCATCAAATTAAATCAAACGCATTCATTGAACCTTTACTATGACTGGCTATTTGGGTAATTTTTGTATAAAAATGGTTTTTCGGTCTTTCTTTAGTCACACGATCACTTTCATTGAATTTGTATAGAAATAGATAAAAGAACATCTTGGTTTGCTTAATTCTTTACAGACCCTTTTGGAGACATTGATAAAAAAAAATAAATAAAAAACGGGAACGAAAAAGACTAAAGTCAAAATGCGAATGACCAGACAAGAAAACTGCAAATGTTGCACCGCATTTGTCGTATGAAGACTTGTTCTATTGTCATGCATCAAAAAAGAAATCATTTGACATTTGTGACCTGAAAAATAATCGCCTCTCTTTCACTTTGTCATTCGCTTATGAATGTTTCACTATGCCATAACAAATCAAACTCCTAATCAATCAGTTTTCAAGTTCTCATCTCCTCCAGATAATTCTTTGTTCTTAAAGCTCAAATACTCTATTTTTGTAAAACTTGGCAAAAAATTTCCTGAAAAGTATTGCCTCTACAATATCGTTTAAATGTGATCACTAGCTGTTCTTTTTTTACTTTGCCGACAACACAAATAAAATTTAAATGCACACGCGCGCACACATACCTACACACACAAGTTTGACAGTTTCTCATTTTAACATTGGGCAAAATTATTCGAAATGACGAGAAAGACAGATTGTGCTATGCTTGCAATTAAAATCAGTATTCGACACCCTGACATCTTTTACCGTGTGGAAAACGTAACGCTCTTAAGTTAAACATTTAATCAGAGGTGTTTAGTCTGTTGTATTCCCAAAAGAGAGAAACACTCAGTTACAAGTGAATTCATTATAATAACAATGGCAACTGACATTCACTTGTTAATCAGGACAGCGCTATTTATCCTTGTGTCCTTTTAGTTCAACTGTTTTCTATCTATCTATCTATCTATCTATCTATCTATCTATCTATATATATTCTTTCATATATATCTATCAATCTTAGTTTGTTCATATTTATCTATGTATTTAAGTTTGTTCGTATCGATCTATCTCTCTTAGTTTGATCTCTCTCTCTCCCTCTCTCTCTCTCTCTATGCTTACGGGGGTGTTAAGGCCTCACACTTATGCACACACCCACACAAACATACACACTTACACGCATCATACTCACTCTCTCCCTAATGAGCCAAATGATAACACCCACCCACAGCAATATACACGCTTACACATATCATGCTCACTCACTCCCTAAGAACCAAATAACACACACACACACACACACACACACACACACACACACACACACACACACACATGGTTAACAGACACATCCCCTCCCCAGGAACCAATAAAACAGTCAAACTAACCAGGGGAATTCAGAGCAGCATGGATCCATCCAGCTCTTATCTCAAATAACAACTTAAAAGAGACTGTTTGACCAACACAAGGAATGTTAAAAGATTCATGTTAAAAAGATAAAAAAATAAAAAAAACAAATGAAAGCTACAGTCAAAAGTTCATTTTCTCTATCAAGACATTTTCTATTTCTTCTCCTGATGATGGCCAATTTGGCCGAAACTCGTCGAGAAATCTAAATGAAATAATAATAATAAAAACGAAAGAATATTAATCTACAACCCAGTGTGTCTGAAGATTTTAATTTTTTACTATTTTTTATTGTTCAAAACACACACACACACACACACACACACACACACACACACACACACACACACATATATATATATATATATATATATATATATATCTTTGTTTATATTTATCTATGTATCCAAGTTTGTACGCATCGATCTATCTCTCTCAGTTTGATCTATCTATCTATCTATCTATCTATCTATCTATCTATCTATCTATCTCGGTTTTGATTAATTTTTTACAGTACATGTTAGAGTCGTTGATCCAAAAAAAGGAACTGTTTAAAAGAGTGAAAAGCACCATAGCCAAAAAAAGCGAAAGATCTGTCAATAAGATGCAATTCTTGTTCAATTGTCCTGCGTCAAAATACCCCCCCCCTCTGTCCATGGATGATTTAAACGAGTTGACAAAATTTCACCGCTTCATTCTCCGAATGTCAACACAATCTTTATGTTGCATCTGCATTAAAATAATAATAATAATAATAATAATAATAATAATAATAATAATGATAAAACAAATTCTCAATTCCTCATCTTACAAGTTTTCAAATCCTATAAAGAATATGTTGTTCTTGTGTTCAAATCCTCTGTCTTTTAAAAAATGGCAAAAAAAAAAAAAAACGAAAAAACATCGTGACAGGTGCAGTATCATTAAAATTTTATCATTTGCTAGTTTCCTCTGTCTTTCTTCTAGATTAAACAAGACTGTCGCCGAATAAGCATTTTATTTCCACCCAATTTTTTCAACCATTTTTTCTGCAAAAATACTTCAATAACACGCACAAACGATAAATACGGAATTTCAAAGTAGTAACTTACAACGTCAAAATATGTCGTCATTATTACTTCTGTTTGTAAACGAGAATTCGACTCTTTTTTTAATTCAAAGAGGAATCGGCAATGTCATTGATCCTGATCTGGCATTTCGGCTCCAGTTTCTTTTCCCACTGCCAAAAAAGGCTTCCCGTCAGAAACTGTAAGAAAGAAATAAACGAAGACAAAAAGAAAGAAAGAAAGAAAGAAAAAGAAAGAAAGAAAGAAAGAAAGAAAGAAAAAGAAAGAAAGAAAGAAAGAAAAAGAAAGAAAGAAACGAAAAAAGGAAGTAAAGAAAGAAACTAAGGAAATAAAGAAACGAAGGGGAGAAAAGAACGAAGGAAAGAAATAAAAAAAGGAAAGAAAAACGAAGGCAAGAAAGAAACGAAGGAAAGAAAAAAAGAAAGAAAAAACGAAGGAGAGAAAGAAACGTATAAAAGAAAAAAATGAAGGAAAGAAAAAAGCAAAGAAAGAAATGAAGGAAAGAAATAAACGAAGGAAAGACAAAAGGAAAGAAAGAAATGAAGGCGAGAAAAGAACAAAAAAGGAAGAAACGTATAAAAAGAAAGAAACGAAAGGAAATAAAGAAACGAAAGAAGGAAAGAAACAAAGGAAAGAAAGAAACGAAGGAAAGAAAAATAGGAAAGAAAAAACGAAGGAAAGAAAAAAGAAACAAAGAGGAGAAAGGAGGGGAGATAGATTGGAGAAAGAAAAAAAAAAGAAACTAATAGACTTTTCTGTTTCTTTCCACTGCCCAAAAGAAATGTATAAAGTCAGTTTCTTAAGCGCATTTCAATGGAGGTGTATATCTCCGTGTTTGACATTTGATTATATCGGAATATTTAAAGGAAAAAGTGGGAAGAAAAAAAAAAAGAAACAAATCCTCGAAACGGACAACTAAATCGAAAACAGAATCATTCTGACGTCCGGCAGGTTGAGTTTTGCATCACCGGTCGTAGTTCCGATCAAAGGGTTCTAATCTATTTGATTTCGATCCCATGACGAGTACAGACCGCCCTCAGCCGACTGACTTTTGACTTCAAATACAGCACAACTTTCGCTACGATGAATAAAGACGTGATGATAAACAAGAAGTATTTCATCAATCTCACTCGCAACCTCAGCATAGCAGAAAAATAAACCCAACCTTTCTTTCAACTTTCTAAATACGATCTCTAGGAAAATTTGTGAGCTTAACACCTTTGACCCACATAAACAAAACTCCTTCAACAGAACAGACTTTACCAATAATACCTGAAGTTAAACGAAAATCTTAGCACAACGACGTCACTCATCATTTTCTCGATAGGAACAGGAAACATTTGAAGATAGCTAAAATAATCAAGAGATGAAACAAAGGCTATATGAGCGGTCGTAACTTCAGTCAATGTTTTAAGAAAAATCAAGAATATTCATTTAACCAGAAAGCATCCAACCCTTTCTTACGAAGAAAAAATAGCTTACCAACCACTTAAATAACTTCGTTTGCTACCAGGCAGCATTAATTTCTATATATATATATATATATATATATATATATATATATATATATATATATATATATATATATATATATATATATAAAAAAAAAACTCCGTAAAGTATTATCTTGGGAATACCATAAGCAGCCTTTTTCGTGTTTTGCAAATAGTTTAAAATGGAGGAAAGCCAGACGTTGCAGGGTTCCAAATATGAACAACAGGAAATCTAAAAATATGTTTAAAACAACGTCGGGCAAAAAAAAAAGACGACATCTGCAAGAGACTTGAATGTAGCAGTCAGACATATCACAATTCCACTCACTTTATTCTTCGTTAACAAATGGACATGCCAGAGACGAAACATTTTGTCTAGATATCAAGTGAGACGACGGAATGCGGTTTGAAATAGGTTTTTACCTTATCCAAGAGGAATAAACGAAATGAAACTAAGCTTACTTTGATCTCAATTCGTAGACACCTAATTTATCGCCATTTTACATGCATATACATATATATCGCATTATGTATATAGATAAGACATATTTCATTAATTTAAAAACGAACAAATGAACGATAACAAACTCTCGCGTGAAAATGCAGATAAACGATATTTGTAAATGAATGAAAACTCACATAGCAAGTAATGCGAAATCTCTTTGATAATGACTAATGAAAGACGAAAGGGTTCAGACATTGAGCAATATATATATATATATATATATATATATATATATATATATATATGTGCCTGATACAAGGAAAATGATCCGAAATATAGAAAAAATGAATAAAGAAAATCCTTAACAAAGGACTTTGTTTGATCTTCAACTATACGTGTATAAACGAAAAGCCGCTGTTCAAATACACTTAACGCACACACACACACACACACACACACACACACACACACACACACACACACACACACACATATATATATATATATATATATATATATATATATATATATATATATATATATATTGTATGACAAAGGGGGAAAAAGTTTACTTGTGATGCGTTTCGTCCTTCAGGAATTCATAGGACTTAATTTCTTATGTTGGTACGACTACATATACGTACGAACGAGGGATGCTGGGGATTTTAGAATTTTTTTTATATATATCTAGCCGAATTCATTTAGTTTCTTTCTTTTTTTTTTCTATCTTTTATCACAGTGATAATAGAAGATCTACCAGTAATTAGAGTAAATTATTCTAATTAATTAGAATTTTAGATGACAAGTTTAAGTAAAGCTATATTTAATTTAGAAATATTAATTTCTATAGTAAATTAGAGTCCTTCTCTTACAACACTCTAATTTACTGTAGATGAAAATTCGATCAAGGCTATCTTTAGACATTTCCGTTGTAGTGAATTATTTTTCATCGCAACCTGTACATATGGACAGACATACAGACAGATAGATAGATAGATAGATAGATAGATAAGATCAAACTAAGAGAGATAGATCGATACGAACAAACGTAGCTATATAAATATGAACAAACTAACATAGACTGATAGATATATATCAACAGATAGATAGATAGATAGATAGATAGATAGATAGATAGATAGATAGGTAAAGCAAATACATGTTTAATGTACTGTGCAGTATGAAACAGACATGTTTATATAAAATTTCAGGTTATGGACAGTAACATCCCTCCATCACTTTCTTTGTCATTATTTGAGAACATATCTTTAAGAGGCTTTAAATTAACTGCTTCCGTAGAAAACGTGATACCTACGATTTAAAAGCATTTTTTGAAAATGAAAAATCTTTCTTGAAGCTTTTATTTTAGTTCTACTTTCAAGGTAATAGATTAAATTTAATAGTATTTTCACTGATGAAAATAATGTATTTCAAAAATTAATTTAAAACTAATTTAAATTGACTGGAAGTAATTTTTTTTAATAAATGACTGATCAGCATCCATTTTTAGTCGTTTTTCATCGCAATGTAATTCTTTATTAAAAAACAATCTTAAAAAAATTTAATTTTCTGAAACTTTCTTTAGGAATAATAGCTGATTTAAAGTAAAATTAATTTGATTCGAAACAAATACTGTTTACTTTAAGATTAATATATCTCAGAAATGCTTTTTTAACTCGTCGGTAGCTGTTTATTTAATCTGTTCCTGTGTTGACAGCTTGATGTTTATCTAATCATTTTTTTACGGCGAGTTTATCTGTAAAATAATAAATGAATACAACGTCTTTTATATATAACTAGCAGCATGGCCCGGCGTTGCCCGTGCTTGATTCAAAAATCGTACAACTCATACAGCAATCGCTATCTCTTGACTTAAAATATTTTTGCCCTTCCTTGCCTTTAAAGGAGTGGCCTTTACCCTGCTGATGTTGCTACATGCCTTACTTCTTGCCTATCTTACACTGCAAATTTTTTCTAAGCTCTATACTGAACATTAAATCTGTTACGAAAAAAAGAACTAAACAAAATGAACACAAAACGATCAGCTTTAAAAAAAGGACTCGTAACTGGAAAAACCGAATGAAAAAAAGAATGTTAACAACAAATACTTTTTCACACCCAACCCAGTTCTGCGGAATCAGAATCAACGTTGAGTTTAAGCAAGCGAATGAGCCAATTGGAGTAAAAGCGCCATGCAGATTTAAATTTTTCCTACTTGTGACGGATGCAGCTATCGATTTGTTTTGCATGCTAGCATGCTAGTTAACATTCGTGTCAGTCAACTGTTGGCTCTCACGCTGGCCAATAGAATCTTTGCCTATTCCTGCCTATTCGTGGCACGCTGGCCAGTAGAAAATGGCCGCAAACTACATGAAAACTGCCGTAGAAGCATGAAAACATCGATTATTTCCACTATCGATGGGAGTTGGGAAATGCAAAGTCTTGGCTTTTCCGCTAACTTGGAGCATGTGCATGTAAATTTTGGTGCAAATCCG